TAACAGTTTCACCAGAACTATATGCGTGTGGCGGCAGCTTTCCATAAGAAGTGGGGGCTGATGATGAAAAAATTGGGGAAGGGAATCCCGGAAGTCAGAAACAATGGGCTTTTAGAACCTAAGGTGCTGAATCAGAAAGTTCCAGGATGCCAATGTCCGGGACGCCTTAGGGCAAGGCACAGCCGCAGGACAGCGAGGTACCAGTGCTCAGCTGTGATGGTGAGCCGGATGATGAGTCTTCAGGCAGAAGACCAGGACAAGAGTCTGAGGGCAAAGGAAGTATGGACCTGGGTGTCTGGGTGGGACTGAAGAGCAGGACTAAGCACAAAGGGCAGACACAAGAGGGCTGGGATTTGGGGCTCTGGCCAACATGGGACGAGCATCATGAATAAGTCCATGGGGTTCCCAGTTAATTTTGAGCCAAGAGAGGTTCTGAGCATAGGTGACAGTGTCCCAGAGAAATTTCCTTCTCAGACTGGGTCTGTGTGATGGTGATGGGTGCGTGTCTGCTAAGTTGCTCAGTTGTGTCTGACTCTTTTCAACCCCCTGGATTGTAGCCCGCCAGGCTCCTCTGTCCATGGGATTCTCCAGGCAAGAATACTGGGGTATGTTGCCATGCCCTCCTCCAGGGGATTGTCCCAACCCAGGGAACAAACCTCTCTTCTGTCTCCTGTGTTAGCAGGTGGGTTCTTTATCATAGCGCCACCTGGCATACCTTGGGCAATCCTCAGCATTCCAATTCTGACCCTCCTGACTCCTTAGCTATTGATTTTCCACAAGGATTCTAACTTTTTTTTTCCCTTTTTTTCTTTGGCAGCATCTCATGGCATGTGGACCTTCCCCAAGTGGGGATCGAACCCACACCCCCTGCAGTGGAAGGGCAGAGTCTCAACCAGTGCACCACCAGGGAAGCCTCAGTTCTAACTTCTTTTTTAAAAAAATATGTTATCTATTTATTTGACTGTGCTGGGTCTTCGTCGCTGCATAGACTTTTCTCCAGTTGCGGCAAGTCGGGGCTCCTCTCCAGGTGCAGAGCGCAGGCTTCTAACCCAGGGAACAAACCTCTCTTTTGTCTCCTGCGTTAGCAGGTGGGTTCTTTATCATAGCACCACCTGGCATACCTTGGGCAATCCTCAGCATTCCAATTCTGACCCTCCTGACTCCTTAGCTATTGATTTTCCACAAGGATTCTAACTTTTTTTTTCCCTTTTTTTCTTTGGCAGCATCTCATGGCATGTGGACCTTCCCCAAGTGGGGATCGAACCCACACCCCCTGCAGTGGAAGGGCAGAGTCTCAACCAGTGCACCACCAGGGAAGCCTCAGTTCTAACTTCTTTTTTAAAAAAATATGTTATCTATTTATTTGACTGTGCTGGGTCTTCGTCGCTGCATAGACTTTTCTCCAGTTGCGGCAAGTCGGGGCTCCTCTCCAGGTGCAGAGCGCAGGCTTCTCACTGTGGTGGCTTCTCCTGTTGCGGAGCACAGGCTCTAGGCTCCAGGGCTTCAGTCGGTGTGGCTCAGTGGTTGTGTGCATGGGCTTAGTTGCCACACGGTATATGAGATCTTCAGGGATCAGGGATCGAACACGTGTCTCCAGCATGGGCAGGCGGATTCTTCACCACTGAGCCACCAGGGAAGCCCTCTAACTTCTTCTAAACCTCCCTTTTCTCATCTATAAAGTGGGGAAGACAGTCCTCGCTTGGACCCATGAGAGGAACAGAGATGAGGTTCACAAGGCACCTGACGCATCACATAGTAGGTGCACAAGAAATAGATGCGGCTTCTTTTCCGGGAGGATGGGGTAAGGCAGCACATAGGAACTCAGGGATCAGTCCCTGGTCCGGGAAGATTCCACGAGCCGTGGGCAACTTCCACAACTTCCGAGCCCACTCTCTAGTGTCTATGAGCCACAACTACTGAAGCCCACGTGCCTAGAACCTGTGCTCCGCAACAACAAACCTTCAGTATCTGTATCTTCGACCATCAGATACCACGCTCCAAGCTTGGTCAGAATTCAAAGTGAAATCTATATGTTACCTTTTAAAATGTCTATAATTTGACCATATCCTTCATCAATGCTAGAGGGGGGAATGAGAAGGTGGACTACCATCTCTTAATATACTTACTTGTTCTGTTTCCCATACAGCATTTTAGAATATGAGTTAGGTGACATTCAGGCTTATAATAAAGTAATTGCATTATTAAGAAAAAAAAAAGACTAGTGTTGAGAATTGTGTCAAAGTAAGGATTAGGGTTCTCTTCAGTCTCCTCGGCATTCTGTGAAAAAGAGTGAGGTCTTTTTCACTCTGTCTTGAGCACTTGATCATATCCAGCCATGTTTTCTCAGTGAATGGCAGCTCCATCCATCAAACAAGAGACTTCAAAGTCTTAACATCTGTCTCCCTCTCCACAGCTTCCATTTAATCCATTGCCAAGACCTGTTGATTCCCCTATATGTACCTTGAATCCTTCCACTTATTACCATCTCCACCTCCCAAATAGCTTTATCCAAGATGTCACCAACTGTCATCAGAACAATAACAATAGTTTTCTCATGTCTCCACACCCCCTTAAAATCTGTCCTTCATATAGCAGCCAGAGTGATATTTTGAAAGTACAAATCCTGTTACATCACTCGATCACTCAGCTTGACCATCCGCGGTGTTTTGGCTTGGTCCACTAGCCACTTCTCTCCCCAGTCCCAGGAAGGCTGCCATGCTTCTAAAATTTACATCCAGAGGGGGTACTATCTAGAAGAAAGAAAAGAGAATTTTGCCAGTGTCTCTTTTTGAAAATAAGAAAGCCCCAGGGGTCTCCCCTTCACTCCTCACTGGCCAGACCTGCATCACCCGTTCATTTCTAAACCAATCCCTGGTGGGCAGGATATGGTTTTCCTGCTTGGTGCAGTAAACTTCATAGTCATGATGAGCATAAAAGATTATCCAAACAAAATTGGAGTTCTGATAGAAAGGCAGAAGGAGTGAATGCTTAAGTAGACAACAGTAATGTCTGTTATGGGCCAAATTATGGGACAAACCTAGAGTTTGTTTAGGGGTCAGAACTGAGGTAAGATTTAGGCTCAGGGTTGAGGACCAGATCACATTTTGGGGGTCTGACTTTTAGGAACTGGCCTTCAGGTATAATGGTTCCCATCTTACTCAAGGTAAGTGCCAAAGTCCTACACTGATTTTCAAGATCCTATGTCATCCGAGTCCTGTTACCTCTCTCACCTCGTCGCCTGCCCTGCGCTCCGCTCATTCAGCTCCAGTCAAAGGGCTCCCTTGGACTTCCCTGGTGGCGCGGTGGACGAGAGTCCGCCAGCCAATGCAGGGGACAGGGGTTTGATTCCTGGTCAGGGAAGGTTCCATGTGCCTAGGAGCAACTAGGCCCACGGGCCACAACTTCTGAGCGTGTTCTGTAGAACCCATGAGCCACGGCTGTTGAAGCCCACGAGCCACCGCTACTGAAGCCCACACGCCTAAAGCCTGTGCTGTGCAAAAAGAGACGCATCTGCAATGAGAAGCCGGAGCCTGCAACAGAGAGCAGAACCCGTTCACTGCAACTAGAGAAAGCCCTCACACAGCCACGAAGACCCAGCATGGCCAAAAATGAATAAATGAAAATTTCAAAAAGGGCTCCCCTTCTAGTACATTCTATTCGTGCCTCATGCCTAACTTATTGGCCCATTTGCTCCGCCTAGAACTCACTCCCTCCAAGAAGCCACGTGGACCCATCCACCAACTCCTTTAAGATTTTGTTCAAATGCCATCTTCATGTGGAATCTTCCTAATAATACAACCCCAGGGGGTCCCTGAGAGTGGGAGAAACCAGTATCTCCCTGTCCCTCTTCCCTGCTTTTATTTTTCTCTGCAGTACTTACCAACATCTAATAAACAAGGCATGTATTTTATACGCTTATTTTTTATTCCCAGTCTCCACCCACTAGAACAAGAGCTTATATGAAGGAATGCTGACCACAATGTCCCCAGGAGCCAGAATAATTTCTGGCACAGAACAGATGCTCAGTAAATATTTCTTGAATGAACATAATTAGCAAAGAGGAATGTACAAGGAAGCACAACCCAGCATTATTACAATTAAAACTATCCAAACATACTCTAATTTGAAACAGATTGCATAAATCATGATACAGCTATAATATGGAATAGTATTATGCAACCCTTAAGAAGGAAGGGGAACCCATCTCAATATACTAAGAGGAAAAATTCTTCAAGGTAACTTATAAAGAAAGAGGTGATATTAATTAGATAATGTTTAATACAGAAACTTTTGTTATAAATACAGAGTATGTATAGAAATCTGAGTATAATATGAAAACAGATGATACTGATAACAGTAAGCATTTATCCAGTTAGGAAAGAGCATCTTCTTTTTAATTCATACCCTGTATGAGGGTTAAATTAAAAAGAATCTGCCTGTAATTGAGGAGACCGGGGTTCGATCCCGGGGTCGGGAAGATCCCCTGGAGAAAGGAATGACATGGACGGAGGAGCCTGGCGGGGGCTACAGTCCACGGGGTGGCCAAGAGTCAGACACGACTGAGCAACTAACCCTGTGTGAGGGCTGGGAATGGGTTCAGGTTCAAAGACGACTGGGCTCCAGCCTGAACGAATTCTCCCAAACTGGTGAGAATTAGGGTACCGGGTCTAGGGCATCCCTGAGAGGGGATGCCGGCAAGAAACCGGCCCCGGAGGAGGGCCAGCCAGAGCCCATTTCCTCAGCCCTGCTGCCCCCTGAACTCCGCCCCGCCGCCCCAGGGCCGGAGCGTCTGGGTCCTCCCTCCGCAGCTGCACCCGGGATGCCGGCCCGAAGGCGCGGGGGTGAGAGGGTGGAGAGAGCCGAGTGCAAGCGCCTGGGCTGCCGCAGGGGTTCGAGATAACCGCGAACGCGGGAGGGGGCGTCCCAGAGCCCGCCCCACCTGCACCCCAGGGCGCCGAGGGCGGGGGCGGGAGTGGACTCGGTATAAGACAGCCGCCCCGCGCCGGGCTGGAGACGCCTGGCCCGGTCTGGCGCCCGGGTAGGATCTGACCTCCCCGAGCTGAGAAGGGGCTTCATCTCCGGTAGGGGGAGAGTGGGGAGAGGGGGCGGATGAGGCTGGCTGGACCCCTGACTCCTGTTCCTGAGGGGCGGGGGCAGAGGGAAGCCTGGACGCCTGGTTCTGACGGTCGAGGGGCTGGAGGTCTAGAATTTGAGGTCTCAGGGGGAAAGAAACTAGGAATACAGATTGATGGATTGGGGAGGGATGGGAGCCCAGGGGGGAAGGGCGTCTGGGGGTCTGGACCCCTGGGTCTGAGGGAGGAGGGGCTGCGGGCTAGGACTCCTGCTTCCTGAACTGTGTCCTTTTCAGCCCCATCGGAAGAGGACCTCCCTGCCTGGCAGCCCCTGAGAGGCTCAGAGGGGTCACCATGGCGACACCCTTGCTGATCCTGCTGCTGACCTTCGCCCTGGGATCTGCTGCACAGGAAGGTGCGGACAGCCCGGAGGTGGGGGTGGGGGGCTGCCCTCACCCCTGACCCCCCATCTTCAGCCCCGTTGACCCTCCTCAGGCGCTCCATTCTCCGGGGCGTGCCTGCTCAGGGCCTCCCCCGGCTCAGCTTCTCCTTCGGAAAACAAGACTCCTCTGCCTCCTGCCTCCTTCCTCCCTGCCTCCTTCTACCTCCCGGGGTCTCTGTGCCCCCCAGACCCTGTGTCCGGCAAGTAGGGTCTCTCCCATCAGCTTCGGCGGTGGCCCCCAGACGAGATGCTCCCCTGGGCTTCAGAGTGGGCTGCCTCTGTCTCTCTCCGTCTCCATCTCCTGCTTTTTCGGCACTGTTCTCCTTTTCAGCCTGTCTCCTTGTCTGTCTGTCTCCATCTGTCTCCAAATCCCTCAGCTGCTGACTCAGCCTTCCTCTGAGGCTTGCTGCCCATGTGTTCCTCCATGTCTCTGTCCAGACCAGGGCGACAAGAGTGGGGACAAGATTATTGATGGAGTCCCGTGTCCAAGAGGCTCCCAGCCCTGGCAGGNCCTCTCCCCATCCGGACCCCAGACCTCTGATGACACCCCTCCCCATCCCACAGTGACCTTTCCAGTGCGGCTTATGTGCACAGACGTCAAGCTCATCTCTCCCCAAGACTGCAAGAAGGTTTACAAGGACTTGCTGGGAGACTCCATGCTCTGTGCTGGGATCCCCAACTCCAGCACCAACGCCTGCAACGTGAGACCCCCTTCCTCCCCTGCCCTGGGTCCCCTACTGCTTCATCTCAGCATAGGGCCCCCATTGTCCCCCTTCACCCACAATCTCTGCACCTGACCTTGGTGCAGAGCCTTCTCCCATCACCCCTGCAGCCCCCTCCCCAGGCTCAGCTTTCTGAGCTCTCACTACCCCATTCTCTGCTCAGGTCAGTAGTGGGAGCCCAGTGAGGGCTGATGTGACCCTGAGGATGAGGCAGAGAAATGAACGGGAGGGTCTGGGGGTGGGGAACCTGGGGGCCAACGGGTAGGAACCTGGGGGCCAACGGGTAGGCATGTGTGGCCTTGGCTTCAAACACAAGCTGTATTTATTTTTTAATTGACATCTTTGTTGAGTATCACAATCCATGAACACAGTGGTAGTGGTTTAGTCATTCAGTCGTGCCTGACTCTTTGAAGCTCCATGGACTGTAACCCACCTGGCTCTTCTGTCCATGGGATTCTTCAGGCAAGAACTCTGGAGTGGGTTGCCATTTTCTTGTCAAAGGGATCTTCCTGACCCAGGGATCAAACCCAGGTATCCTGCATTGCATGTGGATTCTTTACCATCTGAGCCACCAATGAAGCCCCCAAACACAAACTTTACAGGGGAAGAGGCACCCAAAAAACTCAGTAATCAAGATAAATCACATTCTAATGCAATATTTTTTTTTGTCAATTCATGCAAAAGTCCACGATGAACAAAATATCAGAATTTTCAATAAAGAAGCCTCAGTCTTACTGAATTTCTCATCTGCCTCAGGCTTCAATGAGTCTCAGCACAGCCTGGTACCTGACCCTTTATCTAAAATTGGGATACAGTGTTCATCATGGGCTTTTTCATATTAAATTCAATTTTTAAGGTATTGCATTAAAACAATATTTATTGCAATTACTGAGATTGTGTGCTTAAAGCTAAGGTCTCACTCCCCACCCTTGGAACCCAGTCTTAGGCCAAGAATTCTCTCTCCCCTCTTCTTTGTAACTCCCTCTCTGTGATAGCTCAGTTGGTAAAGAATCCACCTACAATGCAGGAGACCCCAGTTCAATCCCTGGGTCAGGAAGATCTGCTGGAGAAGGGATAGGCTACCCACTCCAGTGTTCTTGGGCTTCCCTGGTGTCTCAGCTGGTAAAGAATCTGCCTGCAGTGTGGGAGACCTAGGTTCGATCCCTCAGTTGGGAAGGTTCCCCTGGAGAAGAAAAGGCTACCCACTCCAGTATTCTGGCCTGGAGAATTCCATGGACTGTATAGTCCATGGGGTCACAAAGAGTCTCTGAACATCTTCCCACATCTTTCTTTACACTGAATTTCGTTTCGTTTTTTCCATCTGTGTTGCCCCGTCTACCCCCAGTGGCAGCCTCTTCTCCATCCTTTGCTATAACTTTCTTCCTTTTTCTTTTCCCTTCATTGTCCCACAGCACGTGGGATCTTAGTTCCCTGAGCTCGCGTGTCCCCCCACATTGGAAGCTAGATTCTTAGCCACTGGACCGCCACGGAAGTCCCCTAGGTCCCTTTCCTCTGTGACTCTTTGCCTTTCCTTGTCTCTCGCCCCATACCTCCCCACCCCGACTCCTTTGCCTCTCACCTGCACCCTCAGCTGTCAGGAATGGGGGGAACCATATGTGTGAGGGGTGGGGTGATGGGACAGGAAAGTGTGTCCCAAAGAGGAAGGCGTCCTCTTCCTCCCCTAGTGACGGCCGGCTTCTTGAATGTGTGAGTCGTACAGTGACACAGGGTCCCACACTTGGGAGAGTCCCACGCTTGGTTTAACACATTCCTGTTGCTGTTTTGAAATTTTAAATACTTTTTGAGCTACGGAGCCCACATTTTCTTTCATTCTTTCTTTTTTTTTGCAATACCAGGTCACATGGTAGATCTTAGTTCTCTCAACAGAGCTCAAACCCAGGCTACCGGCAGTGAAAGTGCCAAGTCCTAACCAATGGACCTCCAGGGAATTCTTTGCATTTTCATTTTGCACTGGGCCCTGTCAATTATTTCATCAGTTTGTCCCCTGGGTTCCAGAGCCTCCCGGTCCCCCTTTCGCACATCTATCCATCCCCTGGAGATATTGCTTTTTCCTCCCTTGGCTTGGTGCCATCCCCAAAGACCAGGAGGAAATGGGGCTTTGACCGCCAGAAGCCCCGCCCCTTCCCTGTGATTGGTCCCACGGGCTGGGGCTCAAGCCAATGTCGTTAGAGAACGTGGTTTATCTTCTCCTCAATTGGGTCCGCCAGACAAAGACTGACTACTGAGGCGGGGGCAGGAGCTTCGCTCTGAAGCTGAAGCTAATTTGCTTTATCCCTTCCAGGGTGACTCAGGGGGACCACTGATGTGCAAAGGTACCTTGCAAGGCCTGGTGTCCTGGGGAAGTTTCCCTTGTGGCCAACCCAACAACCCAGGTGTCTATACCCAAGTCTGCAAGTATGTCGACTGGATAAAAGAGACCATGAGAAGATATCGTTAATCTCTCCACTCCCATCTCTCCATCCCTACGCGGTGGAACAGGAAAGTCACAGAAATAGGACCTCAGTGACCTACAGTCCTACTTGAGGCATGTCAAAACCTCAACAATATGTGTGTAAGCCAATCAAATCAGACCTAAAAACCAAAACAAATACAAAACCTTGATGTTGGTAAGGATGTAGTGAGACCAGCCCTCTCTCCCACTGAAACTGTAAATTCATACAGTTTTTATGGAAGGTGATTTGGCAGTGTGAGTGGGGACATTTGTTTTGTCCTCCACCTTTGACCTAGTAATTCCTAGTTGTCTACTAAAAAAAAAATCCAAAATGTGGGGCAAAGTTTGAATTTATCACAATGTTATATTTCATAACAAAATAGTGGAAACACCAAAGCTGTCTAGAAACAGTGGATTGTTCAAACAGTAGGCTGGTTTGAGGCAAGGATATTCTGAAGCTGTTAAGGATAGTAATTATGCAGAATTCTTAGTATCATGTGAGGATGTTTATGCTATGTGATGTTTAATGAAGGAAGGAATATACAGAAATACATATGTATGTGGTTCTCACTATGTAAAATGAAAATGTTCACAAAATAAAACCTGAAAGGACGTGTACCAACCTGCATACGGTGATAGTCATGGGGCGCCTGCTTCCTTCCATTCATTTTTCTGTGGGTGTGCACATTAATAGCCTGAAAAACAAAGGTGGAGAAGCTCTGGAGCTCCAAAGTGGAGGAGAAGACACCCTGAAGAGAGGGAGACGGGAAAGAAAAATGTATCTGATTTTTGGTCCCTTGTCCTGCCTCCCTGCCCAGTGGCATATTTTCCTCCATTTTCCAGGTCTCAGTTTTCCTCATCTGTAAAATGGGAGAGAGAAAGAACAATAAGGCAGAGAGTAAAGGGGCGGCAGGAGAGAATATGCCGCTTCATCAGGGCGTAGAGGGATGTGAAGGTGTTTCTGGGCATTCCACAGGTGATGCAGTAGCAGAACGAGGTGGAAGCAGAGGGTTGGCAGGAAGGCAGGGCCCCTGGGTCACACAAGGGACTGTGTCACTGAGGGTGAACGCCCAGCCTCCAGGGTGTCAGGGGAAATGGGGGCTGGGAACCCGAGTAGGTGGGCTCCAGTCCTCAAGAAGGGGCCTCACAAAGGGAGGAGGGAGAAGCCCCAGTGACTCAGCCTGGCCACACCCCTGCTCCTGCCATCAGAGGCTCCCCGGGGAGTCACACATCAGAAGCTGCTGACAAAGGGATCCTCTCCTGCCAGTCTTTCCAGTTGCTCCTCCAGAACTCCCTCCCAGTCAACATTCTCCTCTTGTGGAAGCTCCACCAACTTTCCTTCTCGCCTCACCTCCCACTCTCCCACCCCTCCGCGTATTGCAGGAATTCCACTGTCCCTGCAGAATGTCTTAACTTCCTTTGGCATTCCAACGCAAAGCCCCCTCCTCCCTCAGACCAGAGTCCAGAGACCCAATCTCTTCTGGCCTATGAATCTAGGTCAAGGTTCAGTTCAGTTCGGTTCAGTCGCTCAGTCATGTCCTACTCCCAGAGTTTACTCAAACTCATGTCCATTGAGTTGGTGATGCCATCCAACCACCTCATCCTCTGTCGTCCCCTTCTTCTCCTGCCTTCCATCTTTCCCAGCATCAGGGTCTTTTCAAATGAGTCAGCTCTTCAAATCAGGTGGCCAACATATTGGAGCTTCAGCTTCAGTATCAGTCCTTCCAATGAATATTCAGCACTGATTTTCTTTAGTATGGACTGGTTGGATCTCCTTGCAGTCCAAGGGACTCTCAAGACTCTTCTCCAACAGTTGAACCACAGTTCAAAAGCATCAGTTCTTCAGCGCTCAGCTTTCTTTATAGCCCAACTCTCACATCCATACATGACTACTGGGAAAACCATAGCCTTGACTACATAGACCTTTGCTGGCAAAGTAATGTCTTTGCTTGTTAATATGCTGTCTAGGTTAGTCATAGCTTTCCTTCCAAGGAGTAAGCTCTTTTAATTTCATGGCTACAGTCACCATCTGCAGTGATTTTGGAGCCCATAAAATAAAGTCTGCCACTGTTTCCACTATTTCCCCATCTATTTGCCATGAAGTGATGAGCCCAGATGCCATGATCTCAGTTTTCTGAATGTTGAGCTTTAAGCCAACTTTTTCACTCTCCTCTTTCACTTTCATCAAGAGGCTCTTTAGTTCCTCTTCACTTTCTGCCATAAGGGTGGTGTCATCTGCATATCTGAGGTTATTGATATTTCTCCCGGCAATCTTGATTCCAGCATGTGCTTCTTCCAGTCCAGCATTTCTCATGATGTACTCTGCATATAAGTTAAACAAGCAGGGTGACAATATACAGTCTTGACATACTCTTTTTCCTATTAGGAGCCAGTCTGTTGTTCCATATCCAGTTCTAACTGTTGCTTCCTGACCTGCATACAGATTTCTCAAGAGGCAGGTCAGGTGGTCTGGTATTCCCATCTCTTTCAGAATTTTCCACAGTTTATTGTGATCCATACAGTCAAAGGCTTTGGCATAGTCAATAAAGCAGAAGTAGTTGTTTTTCTGGAACTCCCTTGCTTTTCGATGATCCAGCAGATGTTGGCAATTGGATCTCTGGTTCCTCTGCCTTTTCTAAAACCAGCTTGAACATCTGGAATTTCACAGTTCATGTATTGCTGAAGCCTGGCTTGGAGAATTTTGAGCATTACTTTACTAGCGTGTGAGATGAGTGCAATTGTGCAGTAGTTTGAGCATTCATTGGCATTGCCTTTCTTTGGGACTAGAATGGAAAATGACCTTTACCAGTGCTGTGGCCTCTGCTGAGTTTTCCAAATTTGCTCACATTCCAAACTTGCTGGCATATTTAAGTTTAAGTGTCAAATTTAAGGAATTTCAAAAGGCTTTGGGGGACTTTCCCTGGTGGTCCAGTGGTTAAGAATCTGCACTTCCACTGCAGGAGGCAAAGGTTCAATCCCTGATCAGGGAACTAAGATTTCCCGTGCTATGCAGTGTGGCCAAAATCAGAGTATTTGGCCACTACCTTTGTGAAGCTCCACCATCGTCCCCTCTCTCTAAATCCATATTTAATCTAAACATTTTTAAACAACAAAGCAAAGCAGTTTCACTAGGTCAGCCTGGGGATAGTTGACTATGCCTCTAGGCAGATCTGTATGCAAATTTGAAGGTGGGTTGGTTTGCAGTGACTTGAGAGTGTTCTTTTGTTGAATTTTTTTAAAAAACAAATTCTTTTTTTCTGGGCAGACGGTACACTGTAGTTGTTAAAGACACTGACTCTAGAAACAGCTTTTTGGTGCCAATCCCGTTCTGGCAGTTGTGAGCTATTTGCCTTTGAGCGCATCACTTCCCCACCTTTTTTCTTTCATCTTTTTTTTTTTTTTTAAGTAGAAAAAATCAAGTTTATTGCTTGTTGGAGTGGAGGAAACTGCACACAATGGGAATCATGGTATCTCAGTAAAGGGACGTTCAGGAGAATTTATTGTAAGATTCGGTGTTTCTACGGAGGGTTTACAAAAGTAGTTGTTGTTCCTGTTTTTGTTTTTTCTGGTATTGTGTTTTATTTTTTTTTAATTCACTTATTTTTAATTAAATGATAATTGCTTTACAGTACTGTGTTGGTTTCTGCCATGCATAAGCATGAATCAGCCATAGGTATACATATGTCCCCTCTTTCTCAAATTCCTTCATCCTTTTTTTTAAAATTTTTCTTTAAATTTTTGGCCACATCCCCCAGTGTGTGGGACCTTAGCTCTCTAACCAGGAGTTGAACCCGCATTGAGAGGGCAAAGTCTTAACCACTGGACCACCAGGGAAGTCCCCCCCTTCACCCCGGAAATGAGGGAAATAGCATCTGTTTCCCATGGCTGTTATAAAGAACACATTTAATATCCAGAAAGTGCAGGAACCATGTCTGACATAGAGTAAGCCTGCAGTGAGGGTTGGTTTTTATGGTCTGTGACTTCCGGCTCTTCTTCCTGCTTCTACTTTCATAAAGTTTTCTAATAAAGCATTTTCTTTTTTTTTTTTAAGTTTTTCTGTAACGTGGAAGTTACAGTTTAAAGTCTTTTCTTGAATTTGTCACAATATTGCTTCTGTTTTATGTTTTGGGTCTTTGGCCCCAAGGCATGAGGGATTTTAGCTCCCTGACCAGGGACCGAGCCTGAACTCCCTGCACTTGAAGGTGACCTCCTAACTGCTGGGCCACCAGGGAAGTCCCAAACATCTTCTTCATTGAAGACTTCTGCAGGGGATAAGCATGCATGGCATGTGGGGGTGGCAAAACCATGAAAGTCACTGGCAAATGCCTAGAGTTGGGCACTTCATTCTCTCTGTTAGAGCTTCTTCCACTCCCCACTGCTGACCACCTCCCTCCTTTCCCAAGGGGCTCTCTACAACTCCTCAAAACTCTACCCATCCCACATAGTAGTAAGGTGGATCCAGAGGTGGCGCCCAAGAGATGGGCCATGTCCACGGCCGTGTTGGAAGTTGAGTTCCAGTTCAGGCTCCATCGTTCCCTGGGTGTTTGAGGTTGAGCAACTAAATTCCCTTCTCTGAGCCTCAGTTTTATTTTCTGTAAAACAGGAGTGGGCGTAATGAAGTCATTTAGTCACTTGGTAAACATTTCCTAAGGCTTCCTCTGGGCCAAGTACCTGTGCTGGGACTTGGGACACAGGGGTGAGTCAGCCCTAGGGTCTGCCCTCAAGGAGTGCACGGTCCAAGTGTGGGAGATGGACCCAGATGGTGCTATGAAGGAGCCACCTGCTCTAGGAACTTCGATGAGAGTGACCAACCCACCTGCAAGAGGCTGGAAGTTGGGTGGTGTTCAGGGACGCTTTCCTGAAGGAGGCAATGACAAGTTGTTGCCAGGAGGAGGTGGGAAGAGCACTGTGGGAGAGGGGAATAGCATAAGCGAAAGCTTAGAGGTTAGAAGACACGGAATGAATGGTTCAGGAAAACTTCTAGTCTCCAAGGCTGGAGCCCTAGAAGACAAGAGGGGCAGAGCTGTACTGGGCAATGAGCCAGCCACTTACCTTGGTGGCTCCTGACTCGTGAAATGTGGCAAGTTCCAATTGAGGGGTGCTGTAAGTATAAAAGGGGCTTCCCTCGTGGTTCAAATGGTAAAGAATCCACCTGCCAATACAGGACACCTGGGTTTGATCCCTGAGTCAGGAAGATCCCCTGGAGGAGGGCATGGAAACCCACTCCAGGGTTCTTGCTTGGAGAATCCCATGGACAGAGGAGCCTGGTGGACTACAGCTCATGGGTCACAAAGAGTCAGACACGACTGAGCGATTTAGCCCACACGCATGTGACCCAAAGAGTGCTCTCCCAGCACCCTCCAGGGCTGCCCTTCTGGGGGCTGCGCACAGTGGCCAAGCCAGGGCCACCCGCTTCACTGAAGGAACAGCTGACCCCAGGACGGGTGACCGTAGTGCGTTAACAGAGACGGATGGGGACGCCCTGCTCAGCGCTGCCTGCCCACTGTCACGGCCGAGGGTGTGCCTGTGTGTCTCCTGCTTTCTGCCTCTNCCTGTCCATCACCAACTCCCAGAGTCTACCCACACCCATGTCCATCAAGTCAATGATGCCATCCAGCCATCTCATCC